AACACCCAACTGTATTCAATAAACACCCAACTGTATTCACACAAACACCCAACTGTTATTCACACAAACACCCAACTGTGTTCACACAAACACCCAACTGTGTTCATACAAACACCCAACTGTTATTCATACAAACACCCAACTGTATTCACACAAACACCCAACTGTATTCACACAAACACCCAACTGTATTCACACAAACACCCAACTGTATTCACACAAACACCCAACTGTATTCACACAAACACCCAACTGTATTCACACAAACACCCAACTGTATTCATACAAACACCCAACTGTATTCACACAAACACCCAACTGTATTCACACAAACACCCAACTGTATTCACACAAACACCCAACTGTATTCACACAAACACCCAACTGTATTCACACAAACATCCAACTGTATTCACACAAACACCCAACTGTATTCACACAAACACCTAACTTTTCACATGAACACCCAACTGTATTTACATGAACATCCAACTGTATTCACACAAACATCCAACTGTATTCACACAAACACCCAACTGTATTCACACGACACCCAACTGTACTCACACAAACACCCAACTGTATTCATATAAACACCCAACTTTTCACATGAACACCCAACTGTATTCACACGAACACCCAACTGTATTTACACAAACTATCAAACTATCTATCAAGTTATCATTGCATCTCCATATTATTATACATATATGTAGCATGTTTGAGTGATGATAGAAGTAACTTACTGACTGCTGGTGCAATTCCACCTACAGAGGATGCTCCAGGCACATTGCCAGCAACAGCAGCAGCCTGAGCTGCTGCAGCTGCCTGTGCCGTTGCTGCTTGCTGTCTCATTTGTTGATGACATTGACGAAGATCAAACACCTACGATAAAGACAGCATTGTGGTTACGTGTGTACTATTCATCCTGAAAACTACTTTCAGTATCAGTGAACACACCTTTATATACTGAGAATGTCTAACTACTTTCAGTATCAGTGAACACACCTTTATATACTGAGAATGTCTAACTACTTTCAGTATCAGTGAACACACCTTTATATACTGAGAATGTCTAACTACTTTCAGTATCAGTGAACACACCTTTATATACTGAGAATGTCTAATGTGAAGGGGCCTAAAGTGTTTACTCAGGGTTTATTTGGTTAAGACAGGTTTCTAGGTTTACATATAGTTCTGTTTAGAAAACTGTACAAAGGGTTCAATTACAAAGGGTTTCTGGATTTAGAAAGGTTTCCAGTTTGCACATACATGTAGCTCAGTTTGGACAGGTTTCTGGATTACACAAGATTCAGTTTGGACAGGTTTCTGGATTACACAAGATTCAGTTTGGACAGGTTTCTGGATTACACAAGATTCAGTTTGGACAGGTTTCTGGATTACACAAGATTCAGTTTGGACAGGTTTCTGGATTACACAAGATTCAGTTTAGACAGGTTTCTGGATTACACAAGATTCA